ATTATCATATGTTAAAGTCAGATATATGTAATGTTCATTCATGTTCATATTTATGTATGTATTGGAGAAGACGTTAATAAGTTGAAAAACTTGTACCAATCCGTTTGTTCATTTTGAACAATAAAATATGTTTAAACTAGTGGTGTAACAGTTCAACATAAGAACAAACTATTAAAATCAGATGGAAAGGACTTAACTAATGAGATTGATACAAAGCAGAAAAACATCTGACAAAAACACAGACCGGCTGTTGCAGGGTATTTATACATCCCTCACGACAAAAAAAGACACCAAAAGTACAGATCTGAGAGTACTAGTAGTTACTGACAGGTAGTTCAAAGCCAATTTAAAAATTAATAAAAAATCATGTATATAAGACTAAAATATCAATCAATACACATCAACCATCCAATGGATTTAGTGTAAAGTTGTCATTAACAGTCAAAGAAAACATGATCTTGTACAATGCCAAAATGTAGGTATTGACAGATTGTCGTACCGTGAATATGCATATGTGAACAACAATAATTTTTAGTATGGTTTTAATTTACTGATAACAAAATCAATATTCATGTCAATAAAAACAATATTCAAAGACCCAATTATGATGTTGAATTGGTAACCTTTTAGAATAAGTTATTTAAAGGGGCATTAGCTGTCAAATTTACGTTCATTGACATAAGTCTAATTCTTGTTAATGATTTATAACATACTAAGACGTATATCCAAATTACAAAAAGTCTAAAATAAACAATTGACAATGCATTGACTCGATTATGTATCAGCATTTCGTGTGTAATTTAGTCTAGACGCCATCTTATTAACCATCGAGATGACATCCGAAGACTCGACGGTCATATAATCGATATAAATACATTGTATAAATACAAATGTAAATAGATAGGTAACACGTACAATTGGATTTTTCTAGGTCTGTTCGATTTCATGTTATAGGTTAAATTGAAGGTCAAATGAATACGGATTAAATCAGGTTAAATTATTGACTTGCAAGTAAATAATACATTACCAATGTTTTTGAGCTTATTCTGACAAATTTGAGCCAAACTGACTGCTTAATACGAAATACTATATCAAAATTCCGCTTTAATTAATACTTAAAACAAAAAGAAATCGTATTTTAATTTTTTGTTTAAATCGTAGTTTGTGCCCTTTTACACGGTAGGTATAGTGTCCGGCTAGGATCGTGGTTTTTCGAGTGAATCTGTCCAATTTTTTCGAGTGCAGATCGGGCTTTTTCGAGTGATAAAACATGCGATCAGGTCAATTAACTGCTAATTTGTAATTATAATAGTTTTTTACTTGACTACCCATCTTATTTTAAATATTATACATGTTTTGAGTAACAGAGAAGCACAACTTCCTTGTATTTAACCAATAAATTCAATGTTTGTTATTGTCCGGGCTTTTTCGAGAGGAACTGTGAAACCGTCCGGGTTTTTAAACAAATGGTCCGGGTTTTTTAACGAAAATTTTAATAAGAAAAAAGGTATTCTTGACTTTAAAAAATGACTTTTCTAGTTTATAAATGTGATTTAATGAATGAAAATATCATATATTCTCAATAAATCACAAAAACATATTACTATGTTGATCAAAATTAACCTTTTTCAATTTAATGCAAATTTTCTATACGGAAAACGTTCTACCACAACATTCCAGTATTAAATTAGAAATTATTGGATCCTTTATAAAAAGGTCTTTAGAACATAGTGCAGGGGACTCATAATCTTTTCAACTTCATTTTATGGTATTTTTGTTGTCACAGTTAATATATTTTTCGTGGTGAACCTCGGAGTTTTTATACGGTACGTATTACGGTATACCGTTGTCCGTCCGTCGTCAGCATGTCGGACAATAACTCAAAACGCTGTAACCAATCTAGATGAAACTTCGGTGAATTGTTTATTCCTATTGAGGTATCCTCTCTTTCGAATTTTATAAATTTTAGATTTTACGTTTCCGAGTTATTGGATTTTATTAAATAAACTAGAAGCTCTGAAGAGCCTGTGTCACTCACATTGGTCTATGTGCTGCAGTGCAAATTAAACAAAGGACACTCTTCTACATTAAAGACAAGAATAGAATTCATGACAAAATTCTCTGTTTTGGTGATGATGACTTGTTTGTAGATCTTACTTTACTGAACATTCTTGCTGTTTACAGTTATCTCTATGTATCATGAGCTTGGTCTATAAGTTTCAGAGAAAAATACTTTTGTAAAAAATGTTTGCGTTGCACATGATCCTCTGTCCTTAACATTAAAATACAGTTATTCAGCTGCTCAGATTTTGATCTGTTCAACGGCAATTAAAACTCTAGACGTACATATCCGAGCATCACGGGACGACACAATGTACAAGTTAACGGACAACGACGGACGCCAAGTGATGAGACAAGCTCACTTGACCCTTTGGGGCGAGGTGAGCTAAAAAGGGGTGATTTTACTGTTTTCAGACAATATTTTTAAAGTGCTTTGAGGAGTTTTCATGAAACTTTGGTGACTGCTTTATATAGATTATGGTTACCTCCCTTTTAGTTTTTTTTTTTTTGACATTGAGAAATTATATAAAGGTTTCATAACGAGTGAGAATGGATATCGCTTGATATCATCTCGAGTTATTTAATTTCAATATAATAATAAACGAAGCGAGTTTATTATTACTATTCGAATTAAATAAAGAGAGGAAATTACTTACTTACTTACTTGAATTAAATAACAAGAGTTGATATCAAGCGATACCCCATTTTCACAAGTTGTTAACCGTATTTGTCTTATGGTCAACACTCTCATTGTGTCAAACTAAAGATTTCGTCTAATATTTTGCACATGAAATGTACATCGTCGTAACCTTTGATGGTCATCAATGATCTAACGAATAGCCAATAGAAATGGCGTAATATCGTCTTATCATGCTGGATAAGCAAATCAAATTTACGCAAATTTTCGTATCACTTTTTCGTATCACACTCCGTGCAGTGTGATATGAGAAATGTTTATTCGTGCAAGAAATACAAAATGTATATAATAAGCCACAACCATACGAGAATGAACTTTATTCTTTGAAAACGCGACGGGCGCAGCTGTTTATTAAAAACGGAATAAGAAACCTACTGGACAGCAAAGAAGAATCAGATAAATGCCTTGTTTTTGTTAGATGTATTTCTGTTTGTATCAATCTGATGAGTTAAGCCTTTTTCAACTGATTTTTTATAGTTCGTACTTATGTTGTACTGTTACACCACTATCCCAGGTTAGGGGGAGGGTTGGGATCCCGCTAACATGTTTAACCCCGCCACATTCTGTATGTATGTGTCTGTCACAAGTCAGAATCCTATAATTCAGTGGTTGTCGTTTGTTGATGTGTTACACATTTATTTTTCGCTTATTTTTTTGTTCATAAATTAGGCCGTTAGTTTCTCGTTTGAATTGTTTTACATTTGTCATTTCGGGGCCTTTTATAGCTGACTATGCGGTATGGGCTTTTCTCATTGTTGAAGGCCGTACGGTGACCTAGAGTTGTTAATTTTTGTGTCATTTGGTCTCTTGTGGAGAGTTGTCTCATTGGCAATCATACCAAATCTTCGTTTTTATATGTAATAAAAAATATTCTATTACAAGAGGTCAGCCCCCTGCCCCCACAAAAAAAACTTCATTAATAACAACAACAAAATCTATTCACACACTTGATCCAACCAGTTTTTATTCCCATTGACAATAAAATCTGAATTAAATTTCATATATAGTTAACAATGAAATGAATAATTCGTCAGCTTAATTCACTATTTATACGTACGTCTCGATCCAAATTGTCTATGCTTACATTATATTGTTGACATCATTAGTACATACTGTACATGTAATTTATAAGATGTGACAAACAACAATAAATACAAATGACTGATATTTTTTTATAAAGTGTAAGTGTTAGTACACCTTTATCAAACTGATGAATGCATTGGTTTCGTGCCTTAAAAAGTACATAATTTTAGCCCTTTTTATTGTTTTTAAACGTAAATACATTGACACATAACATTCTAAGCTATAGGAAACTTGTATAATCACTCGATAAAACACGGACGCACTCGAAAAAGCCCGGACTGCTCTCGAAAAAACCCGAACACATAGAAATGATTTTAGTCTCAAAATGTCGTTTTCAATGCAACAACAAGATTTTTTGTAAAGTGTCTGTATATCTAAGGATATATGGATTCCATGTATGCATTTCCATCGACATTTGCATTGGTATGTGTATAAAAATGGCTTTATTCTGTTTTTTGGAATAAAAGCATTGTAAGGCTAAATTCAACTTTTTTAACGAAAAATAATGTCGGATTGATAATATCTTTTTATCTCAAATACTAACACACCTCGTATATCCTTGTATATTAAACTCAAGCTTCTATATCACGTCTTGTCAGAAAGGAAGTCTGTTTGTTTACATTTTTTATCATATTCACTCGGAAAAAAGTGGTCACACTCGAAAAAGCCCGATCAAATCACTCGAAAAACCACGATCCTAGCCGGACACTATACCTACCGTGTTTTAAAGGATTGATAAGTTTACCCGGATTGTATCTAAACTTCCGGGATCGGTAAACAAAATCACCGTAAGAATTAGGATGTGTTATTCCCTTTGAAACAAGTTTTCTACAAGTACAGCGAAACTACCAACCAAATCTTTGTTTCTTATGAAGAATTTAGTAAAGGTTTTAAGTAATTTGTTTTAACAAAATTCCTGACTTGATAATTTACGAGTAATACACAGATTACAATCATTGAATTCCAAAACGTCACTACAGACACCGGCATAGCGAACGATTTTGGATATATAAACCACGTAAGACCGTACCAATTCTTTAATTCTATTTCTTATGAGGTTACTAATAATGACCTTTTAGTTGCAGTTAATCGTGTACTTTCAAATTTACGTCAGAAATATAGTATCAATTGTGTATGCTTCTTTATCAAACATCAACAGAATCATGTGGCATTCAACAAATTCAACCAAAACTAGAAAGACCAGATTGTCCTAAACTAGAAGCTTTAAGAATAGTCGGAGGATGTGATGTTAGACCTGCTCACTCATGGCCTTGGGCTGTGCAATTGCGGCTTTCCGATGACGGGGGTAAAACTTTCAACCATGAATGTGGAGCTGCTTTACTGTCAGAATCATTTGCACTTACGGCTTCCCATTGCTTTTTGAGGTAAGTTTAAAACAGATGTTATGATATATTTGATTAAAGATGAAATAAGTAAGCTACATGTTGTCTATAGTAAGATTTAATATAGCAATTCCAAAAGATAAAGTCATGCGTGAAAATTAATAAGCAAAACAATGATGTTTATTTTATGATAAATAATTATAAATTATTTTCATTAAATCTTTTTTTCGCTTTAAAGAAAAAACCACTCAGTTGTTCATTTTAAGACCGGATTTGGGGGGTTATAATGTCAATTGATCATTTTGAGACCGTATTCGTTTACCTGACAAAATATTGTCAAGCACTATAACTTCTGATTACATCATTAAATTTTTATTGTTAAATCATAAGAAATTGAAACAAACACTTAATAGATTTCGTGCGTCCAAGTGCTTTTATGGTTTTATCATCTTCATGAACGCTCAGACCTAAACATTTGAAACAGTGATACGTTAGGAGATATATGACTAAAACCGACCTAAACAGTCAGTATTGAATAGATATAGGTAAAAAAAATATATATTCTCATTTTGATGTCGTATGAACACTGTACAAATTCAAATACCAATACAAATAATTTTATTAACTAATCACAGTGCCCGTATAAGGGCAGATTAATCACAGTTTAATTATTGCTACCAGACAAAACATATAATGCTAAACATGATTTTAACGATCTAGTAGATTAAAACATTCAACATATATACATTTATAAAAGAAAAGAACTTTATAAGATATGTATACTGGTGAATAAAAACATAAAAACTAGCAATATGGATTCCACTTGAAACACAAAAATTTCATACAATAATTAAAATGATAATAAAGGGGAATAGCTATTAAGTAAATTATTCATTAGGGCATCTCTTTCTCGTGACAGTTGTTTTAAAATTTTATGATTTATATATATGATGTCTGTGTCTTCATTGCTTAAAAGCCAAATTAAAGTGTTTTCATCAGAAAGTTTACAAGAATGTTTATTATTATTATTATTTAATTGATCAAAGTATTGTTTACGTATTGTTGACAAGCATGGACATTGAATTAAAAAAACTTGATTTCATCTTTAACAGAATTTATACATAAATTACATTTTCTTTCACTAATATCCAAGTTACAATATCTTCCCTTCTCAATAATGAGGTTATGTGACAATAATGAGGTTATGTGAGCTTACACTTAATTCAGTTAACAATCTTTTTCCATTTTAATTACCACAACTTAAATATTTTCTTCTAATTTTGAAATGTATTTAAATTTACGATAAGTCCACAACTTATTCATAACTTTAAAATGTTTTGTACTGTCATTAAAAAGCCTTTTTAACCAAATTTTGTTAAATATAGTTTTCAGAGAACTTTTTTTTATGATATATTAGATGAACTAGACATATGGATTAATAATCAAGTTTCAGATAGGACTTGTATTTAACAGTGCGGAGTTTTATACACCGACAATTTGATTCAAGTAAAAGTGTAAGGAGGTGTTTAAATATAAAAAAAGAAAAGGGGTTATAATATCTAATTAAAATAGCAAAACTAAAACAAATATAAATCAATTGTTTTAAAAACAATTGTTAAACGGTCTTTCCCCTCCGAAACATGATTAATTGGTTTTTTGGTTGGTTGGTTGGTTGGTTGGTCGGTCGGTCGATTGATTGATTGATTTATTGATTGATTGATTGATTGATTGATTGATTGATTGCATGGCACTTTCTCTGTGCGACGCAGCTAACTTAAATAACGCCTATGTTCTGACCGAACGTGACTGCGTACTTAGACATCCCGCACAGCTAAACGGACGCCTGAGATGTCCTCATAAAAATTGATCCTAGCATCATTCGTTTATAAATTTTCTCTAGTTTCTATGTTACTTCGGACTTCCATTTTTCATCTATTTGTTGTGTATGCATTTTGATTGAATTTGTAGGAAAACGGAGTAAATTTTATCTTGGAAGTTTTATTTTCCTTATTTGGATATGCAATGTTTTATTCTAAATTTAGGTCCGCGCGCGAGATGATGTTGTGAGATCACGTGACCCCCGAATATATATGTCTGGAGTTAATATTAATTTCTTTTCAGGGGAGACCGTTGAACAGATCACATGTGTATTGATCAAAGAAACACGATAACTATTGTTTTTTATTTTGTACAGGTCATTGATGTCGGATACATATTACGTACACATGTTTACGGGAGCACAGATTTGTATTTTAATGCATGTTTAGAAATTTGATTGTAGGATTTCAGTAATACATTGATTTTAATTTCGCAATCAAGCGGACCGCACGTGTCTCATCGATTAATTTCAGAAAATACATGAATTGGAGCAGATTTTTGCAGGGATGGATTTCTATTTCAGAAAGAAATTTGTACATAAGAAGGATTAGCATTTTACAGTATAATGTACGGGACTAAAACGCGATCTTCTTTTCTTTGAAATGGGATAACTTAAAAAAAAATCAGTTGAAAAAAAGGGAGGGGGGGGGGGGAGTGTAGTGGTAGACTGTGGTTCATAATTGAGATAAGAAACATTTACAACATGATAGCTGCAAAGTTTGAAGTTTTGATAAGTAATTTTTTGATTCGACCATAACAGGGACATTGACCCTGCAATAAAATGACGCGTACCATTTCGACCAAAAATTTCTAGTAAACACGTGTCGCGACAAACTTTTTGGTTAAATTGTTTTGTCGATATCTATAACTCTTTGATAGGAAGAAGCGATATGTACTTAATGTAAAAAATCACAACATGACCTTGACCTTTGACCTTGACCTAGTTTTCTATTCTTTAGGACCAAGGACCTCAAATCAACAGACCCTAGGTCTCTATCACTTATGGTTTACCAGTTACAAATGCATATCACTTATTTCAAATGCATTAGGGGAAATAACTCTCATTTGGAGTCTTCGTATGGCTTCGGTCAAAATTGGACAAAAAATCCTGAGGATATAGGGAGCCATTTGGTAAAATAAATTTGTCGCTTTCTTATACGGTTACGGAGGAGATGCAGTCACAAGGAAAACAGTGTTCGGGGAGATAACTCCTACAAAGAAAAGTATTCAGTCACGCAGGGTGAATTTCAAAGGCGCATAAACTGTTCGATATCATATACCACACATCTAAGCGACATCTTGCGAAACAAAATTGATACGCAAGAAATAAAAGTGGCGGAAGAAGAAAAAAAAAAATAATAATCAGAACAAAAACAATAGGTCTTTCCACAGAAAAGTGGAAAGACCTAATAAACCAGTTTCATTCGACATAAACACGGGGTTTTTATGAAAACAAAATGAACTCGGCTAAACACGACGAATGCTAGAACAAGGCGAGAGTAGTTTAACGATATTCGAATTTCGTAAATCGATTTAAGAAAGACCAATTAAGGAAACAGACACTGAGGGAATAGCATGAACTCAAAAGGGAGCAAGACCGGGTGCGTCGATAGCATAGGCGTCTCTTGCTATGCTAGCTTCGCCCGCCAGCCATGTGAATCCACACTCAATCAAAATGTCACAATCGGGAATAGAAAAATGATCTGATAAATTACAGATCAGACGACCATACTGGTATCTAAAGATCTAATACCGCGAAAACATGTCGCTATTGAATTAAACCACTAACACAGCGTATTGTTCAAGTTTTTCGCAATGATGACCGTACAACTTGTGAACTGTAGAGATAACAGTCGATTTAATGACTCTGTTGGAGCAGTTTTTGTGTTTGGGGCACGCCCCTGTTAATTAAGTCCGTATAGTGTGAATATGAAAGAGTGTAACGTATTAATTTGGATACAACGCCATAGGATGGTGCAGAGGGTATGTTTCTGATGAGAAACGGGAAGTTGACAATTGGAAAGTTGAGATTTTAGTCTGGCTTTTCTGTGTTTAATGCTTTTAAACTTCGTATTAGATTTAGTTTCAGACTGTTTTGATTCGAGTGTCACTGATGAGTCTTATGTAGACGAAAAGCACAAATAGCGTCACAAATTCTGAGCCTGGTATCTTTGATGAATTTTTCCATTTGTTCTTAGTCTTATCAGGTGAATTTAATTGCTTCGGTATTGACTTTATATATACGATACCTTTCTTAAATTGTCCGTATATGAATTATGATTTTTTTAAATTAGATTCCAAGTACCTCAGGCAAAATTGACAAACTTTGAATGGATTGTTTGTTATTTTTAGGTCTCTTAAGGCCATATGTTTAAATAGTTAACATATTTTTTCTTCTTTTTCTAAGTGTTCGTTTTAAATCTAAAAAAATAAACGTCTCTAGACTAGTTTAAATGATTCATAAAATACATTTTTCTCTTTGCTTACATCTTTTTGCAAAACATTATTCACAAAATAAAATTTACATTCATTCAGATTGCGACGCATGTCAAATTAGGTATACTGATTATTTTCAAATTAAATACAAATGAACAAGAGGGGTAACGAGCCATAACCAAATCCTTACCACACACACATACACACACTTTCGAAGTTGTTAGAGTGGAGAAATTATTTTAGGCGTATACTTCATTGAAAAGTAAAACAAATCACTAGTCACCAATTATTAATTTGCCATCCCTTCTTGTTTGAAAATTGACAACATTTCATTTTTTCTATTTAAGCTTGGATTAATATTTTCAGCTCAGAAAACCCAAAAGATTGGAAGGCTATTGGGGGACGTCATTCGAAAGATACAAATGAAGCCAATAATCAGCCTCGCAATATTATCAAAATAGTGAAGTTTCCAAATCTTGGAGACAATATTCTCGACAAAGATGTTGCTATTATCAAATTTGATAAGCCGATGACAATAAACGCCTATGTTACCCCAATTTGTTTACCAATAAGAGAACCAACTGAGAGAGATGAATGTGTTGTGGCTGGGTGGGGAGATGTACAAGGTTTGTACTTTTGTCCTTTAACATTCTTATTATTACATACTTACAGTTTTCTCTCTTAAAAATAATCATATGTGCATTAAAATAGGAAGGTTTGCATGGGAACATCTCCACATAAATATGCCGATGGAAATAGACTCGTCCTAACTTTCCAAGTTGACCGCATAAATAATTTGAATGAGCAAGGGTATTGCCACTCCATCAACGAGGTAATGTAAAAAATATGAACAACTATATACAAATATTTCTAACAAGCTTGGTGATTTTTTTTTTCTAAATCTTATTCATCTGATACGTTTTACTTTATTTCGTAAATAAGCTGATAAATAGAAAACCTTAAATTGGACTTTGAAGTGAAACATTTGGGAAAATAACAATTGAAGCTCTTTAACAGCTGAAATAACATCAACGTCATGCCTATTCCAAAACTAAACAAAGTTCATACGGATCATCTTCATAAATAACCAATTGCTCTTACATTGGTATCAGAAGATGTGGTATGAGTGCCAATGAGACAACTCTCCATCCAAGTCAAAATTTATAAAAGTAAACCATTATAGGTGTCTGCAAAACGTTTGAACATATCGCCTTGATCAAGTAGGTTACAAAGTAACGGTTAGTGTGAATCTGATATGGTCCATGTTCCCTTGATCATCTTCTTCGGTTTGAATCATTCAATTGTAATGGCTATACGAAGAATGAGAATGTGGTGTAAAACTTTTTTTATCCTGACAAAACTTATAAACACATGGAAAACATGAGGTTGAAAGGCAAATTTTCTCTCTTACAGGAATTTTTATGTTAGAGTCTATTCGATCATGTCTGATATCTCTGATCAGGAGATGAGTGTTCCTTCAGTATCAAAATTAACAGTCTGTTTTAAAGGCAATATTACAAATTCATTATACGTTGATGACTTTCTAACACATGACAGAGCTCTCAATATGAAAAATATATTCTAATGATATTATAATTATACCATGGTAAAATATACAAGTGGGCTTTATAAGTTTTAAACGTTCGACATCTAAAAAAGTCGGGGTTACATCTTGATCCAGTGTTTTTTTTTTTAATTATTTTTATATGAATGGTCGATGAAACGAAATTTGTTGTCTCTATTTTTAATAAAAAAAAATACTCTTTCTTTACCATATTTAAATTCAAAAAATCAATATATCCAACCTTTATATAGTTTGCAAGTTATAGCTAGCAATGGCTTTGGTATAACTAGCAAATTTATACATACAAATCAATATAAGTTGAATATGTATAGATCTCTAGTATGGTCTAAGTTAGATCATGGCCATAGTGTTTGGTTCGGCAAAAAAATCATACAAGCAAATTTTGGATGTTGTAAATCACCAAGGTGTTTGTCTGAGTAGTGGGACTTTCAAAACCTCACTAGTTTGTACGTTGAGGCAGATGAACCTTAACTCTTAAACAGAAGTTTAAAATGAGGTCTTGCGTAGTCTGTAAAGCTACAAGGGATTCCAAGACAATCCCATCTATAACTGTATTTTCGATCTCGTCTATGAAGACACTTTTCAAGTGAAAAAACATGAACATGCAATTCGTTCTTTAAAAATTCTTCAAAACCGCATCTAAATACATTTGAATTGAAATGTGTTGCTGCTGGTCCGACTTGTCAATACCTCTATGAGGACAACTAATAAGATATAAAATCTTCGTAAATACATTAAGACTGACAAATCTCTTTTAATTTAGCAACAATACGCTGAAATGAAATCCAACAAAATTCCCTTTTCAAACTTATACAATGATGAATCAAAGGATGAATACATAGTTATATTCAATGCTGTCTATTGCGAACACATTCATCACTTTCATCCTGTAGTAATAATCCTAATTAACAGTTTATTAATTCAATTCCTATTTATCACCAGGTATCAAAAGGTGAAAATAAACAACCATCATCAAGATTATAAATAAACTTTGTTGTTCCGCTTTGCAGAGATTTTAACGATGATATGACAACCTTTGAAATAAAGCGGGACAATAGTTATTTGATTTTTGGAGTAGAACAAAAATCATATATTAAGATATATTAAACCTTGACTATAGTGAAATTCTTTATAAAAATGTAAATAGTAACACATACTTGTTAATAATAAATTTTCTGTCATGGATTAAACATTTTGAATCATCGATTCAATTATTCAATATGTTCACCGAAATGGATAATGTTTATTTTATAATGAATATAAACTTCGTTTTTTTTTAATTTTGGATAGAACTTAGTGATCGAGATGTAGAAAAATCTGTTGTTTTTTTTTAATTTGCAACAATTATGTTGACAATATAAACCCAGGCATGACTGAAGAGTTAGAGGAAGTCTTGTCCAATGTTTAGAATTGCCCTAAAAGTGTTCCACTCATACAAAGGCTCTGAAATTTTGATTTTATATTGAATGACTTGTTTATTTTTCAGTAACTTAAATGGAATGTTCGATAAACCTATTTCAGCATGGTGAACATGGGTTAGCCGTGTCTACTTAACATTTCTAGTGTCGTCTTTAAGACTGAATTAATGCGTTAACCATTAGTCTATCAGAAATCTTTATCGTTCCAGTTTCAGGTACAGACGACTTAATAAACGCTTGATATGTATTATCTGTTATGTTTTTGTGGCGATTGTAATAGTTTAGAAATTTGCAATAAAGTTTAACCTTTAAGCACATGTTTTTTTTTCAGAATCTCAGCATCCAGATAAGTTGAAAAATACTGTAATGCCGATAGTTGATACAAATAAATGTAACGGTACCGAAGACCTGGAAGACCAGATTACACCCTACATGTTTTGTGCCGGATTTCAGAAAGGAGAAAATGACGCTTGTCAGGTTAGAGTCAAAGCGCAAATGTGCTTAAACAATCTGTTTCGATTTAAATACAAAAATGAAAAGTGTTTTACGGAACCTTGAGTCTCGCTTTCAATTGCTGCCGTCAGGGTTAACATGTTTTGTTTCTTACCAAAACACTACCACATCATTTTGTGTAATACAAAACAGAAATGGAAAAGAAAAAACGAAAAAATGAAAAAGCACCTATCTCTTGAACTTCTGACCAAGCTTTGTGAAATTCAATGAATATTGATGAAACGTTTGTCCAAGTTTTGTATAAGTATATGGAGGTTTCACGAAGTTATCAATGTCTAAAAACCTTTAACGAACTTAAATGCATATGAAAACGACACCTTGTCTTTTTAACTTTTTGGATTCGAGAGTCACTGATGAATCACATAGTTACAAGTATTTCAATTAAGTAATGGTCAACCACTGAGATATATTTAACGTGACCTTTAGTCGTTTATTTTGTGGACCATTGCATTTATAAAACAACCGCTTCTTCAAAAAAAAGAAAAGCTAAGGAATGCAAAATCGTAAGTTTGTAGTGACGTTATAGTTTTCAATAAATGTTATTTTTGTATCACTGGTAAAATTTTAAGTCAGGGTTTCACACACCCACACTCGTAAAAAAGTGAGAATATACAATGGGGCAATCAAACTTTCAAAGTAAAATAAAAACCGACAACAACTTCACAAAAAAGAACAATTGAACTACTACTTAAATTAGACATAGTCTTATTTGGGATATTAAAAAAAACGAAAAAAACTACATAAGAAACCTCATAATATTAATACAAAGTATTATATATACAGTTTAAAAAGTGGACAAGTAAATATTATAGTTTTAAAAAATTATCTTAAAGAAAATTTGTTTATTGAAAAAATAATATTTTATAAAAATAAAGCATTGCAAAGAGCGTATTTCTGCTGGAAGCCCTGGCTCCGACTAATAGAATAATTATACAAGTAAATTTTTAAGTAATAAAAATATCTTCCCAGTCCAGACTCCCTAGTTTTTTTACCATTATTATTCATTCATAACTTTGTCAAATGATTCAAAAAACCAACTATATGTATTTGTCTTGATTTTGCTGATGTACTTTGGACCTATACCGTAATTATACCATATACAATGATTTATTTATATATGTAGTTTTACCAATAAAAACATGACAACGAACAATGACGAAAAGACGTACATCAGAATGGTCTTTCGAAAACTCTAAATGCAAATGTATATGCTTTATTTCGTATAAAACCTTCTTTTGTTAAAGGAAAATAAATATGCTAGATAGACTGAGACTGTATTAAAAAGCTTTTATTTTTTCCTGGACAACATAATATATTGTAATCAATCCGTGTTGACAATACTTAGTAAACATTCGTCTGAATTCCATTGACTAAAAAAAATTAAGTAACACATACCGTTAACCTGTAAATAATTTGCATAATATAATCCAGAATTTTCTAGTTCTACTGCGAATACCTATCCCACGGAAGTAACATTATAAAGATATAATAACATCACCAATTGCCCTTTTTCTAGTTATCAATATTTGCTGAAATTTACAACAAAGGAGACGATTCGCCATGCACGTGTCTGAAGTAAGACTAAAATCATATAGTCAGGGGGTTCTTTACCCTAAAAAAAGTTATTATGTTCATCAAAAACGCTCATAAATATATATTTTTTATTTAGAAGTTTTGCCGTATCTGTAGACATCTTATTTTAAACGGTATATCGCATCCTAACTTTTCAGTTGATGTTATATTGATCGTTAATTTGGATACCATTTATGTCATTTTATTTTTCCTTTGAATAAACTTAATTAAAAGTTGAAGTGTGTATTGTTGTGAGAACTTTAAATATTGTCTTTTTCGGTACAATCATTGATTTTTACATATATTTTTAGTTTAATACATAATAAATCATTTAATTTTATCCATGTTTAAATCAATCGGACTTGGACTTACTTTAAACTGAGTTTTACTGTGCGTATTGCTGTGTGTTTGTTTATTCTACATTTGCTAGATGTAAAGGGGGAGGGTTGAGAGATCACAAAACATGTTTAACCCCAAGAATTTTTGCTCTTTGGTCTGGTTGTTGTCTCTTTGACACATTCCCCGTTCTCATTCTCAATTTTATATATATTAATTTATATGACCATACACACTGTCGGAACTAATATTTTTGCATTGTATATGGTCATGTTTTTCCTAAGTCTACTTATGACGTTTTTAAACTAAACCCGTCGGAAGTAAACTGATTGACATAGCAGTCTGCTGAAACATTGGTTTTTACATTAGTTAAAATTGGGCTTTGAGATAACTGCAAGTACTACGGTAGTTGAAGTGTCCGTTTGAGATTAATTTTTTGATGTGCTGGAATCAGTCCGCTTTATTTCAAGTGCAGACAGGGATCGAGTGAAATGACATGTGATCAAATCGATAAACTCTTATTTTGCAAGTTTATAGTTTAAATTAGATAATTGTCAACTTAATTTAATCCATACATTTCTTTAGCAAAGGTTACGCATAGTTTTATTTCACTTCAATTACAGGTTTTCATCATTCAGGCTTTAGGCGTACTGCAATATCTGATTGTTTTTCTCCAAAACTGGTCAGGATTTTTTTTGGATAAAAAATTAAGAAAATATGAACAAGAAAGATTTTATTTAGGGCCTTCATTATTGTAATTAAGTAGAGAACCATCACACATAGACATAAAAAATTAAGCAGATTAACATATAGCAATGTTGAACCATGTTAACCGTTCAAATATTTTATAATAAGTTTTTCTTAAAATACATTTTACCATACCCTCGAAGTATTAATTCAAAATCTGAGTTACAACTAAATTGTATTCCATAGCCATTTGTATTCCAGCTCTTTATATCAAATACTACTTAATTAACTGAAATTTAAATGTTCAAATAAAATGCTTTTTTTTTTATAAAATTCAAAATTTATTAAATTTCCTGTTTTTATTGTATTTGTATATTGGAAATTCCTCAATCTTCAAACACAGTAATCTGAGTTTTTGGTAAGCATAATACCTAAAGATAAAGGTTAAATTTAATTTTAATTTTTTCCGTGTTTTTGTTGTTGTTGTAAAAAATCAAATAATAACATTAACATGACCAATTTTACTGTACCACTAAACTTCTAACTTATTTTTTCATTTTGTTTTGTTTTGTTTTGTTTTTGTTTTTGTTTAAATATTTCAATCAATAATCTGTTCAAGCTGTAAATGTGTTTCGGAGCAGTTGTAACTCATTTATAGAAATTCTTTATTATGATCTGTAAATAGGTCTTAATAATAGGATAATCGATGACGAAAAACATGATTCACATTCATTCTTCACAATTAAAAAACATCAAATCTTACAATTTTATTGGCCAAGAGTACTATGCAAAATTCTAGTTTTTTAATAAAACATCTTTTGCACGGATACAAGGCATTTATTATGGATTATCTATTAAAAACAGATCAGAACATTTAATCCACTAAAGTTGTAATAAAAAAAAGGCAAAGAAAACACCAAGAGGCATTCAAATCTCATAATCCAATAAAAAATAAACAGTCAACACCATGACCATAACGAACAATGACACAAAACAGTTATTGTCATTAGTTTGCTGTATGTCATATTTATTTTTCTTACTTTGTTATAAATCAGGCCGTAGGTTTTTGTCGTATTTGTTTTTCTTACATTGTTATAAATCAGGCCGATGGTGTTCTCTTTCTGGATTTTTGTAATAATAAATATGATATGAATTGATTGACGAGTAGATAATAAGATGAATTAATTTAGCTCTACGATAATTTTTTTTTTCATTGAATAGCGGTGATAACAGGTGTGCAGGACATTCAATACACACAAACCTACACAGATATACTTATATGAATCTTAGACGTATTTGTAACAGTAGTAGAAATGCATCGAAATAATTGAGTGTAAGGATAGAATTTATGAGATAGACAGATACATCATTATTGCATATGTTTTTATATCGAATTCTAAATATTGATCAGTTAGTCTGCGCTTAATGTTGAGTGGCTTCTGGTTATCCGCTCATATGTGTGATTAACTTTATTGAATATGTCCTATTAGTCTACTTTGTTGTAAAATTTATATAATTATAGATATATGCGTTTCTAAACGCACTTGTTTCTTTTAGGGTGATAGTGGTGGTCCATTGATGTGTAAACTTGGTAATACCTGGTATTTACAAGGACTTGTATCCTGGGGAGTTGATTGCGCACGTAAGACTTCGTGTTTATGATTATATGTTTTACTATGGTTTCTTCTTCTTTTATATTATTATTTGTATGAAAAAAACATTTGATTTGTTTATTATGTTTAAGTATCAAAAAATTAATTGTAATTATTGCTTAGTAGTCTGATACCTGCACTAAAGGAAAATGAGAGGTTAACAGTATTAGATTAAAGCAAAAACTGTTAGTACTCCATACTAAACCAAAAAAACATTATTTATTTCATAGCTTTTCATTTGAATTTTCAGAACCCGATCTGCCTGGAGTATATGCCAATGTGTTCAAATTCGTCAGCTGGATAAGGAATCAAATGACACTGTAATAAATATGTTAAACTTAAAAACGTTTTCAACATGCCAAGATTTGCAAACAATCAGACACGATTTAAAATCAATACATACACTTTTACTAGAAAATGATTTTTGCTGTTACTTATTACGCAAGTACAATTTATACTTCAGCAAGTATCAAAGTTATATAATACACAATACTTACAACAAGATTTAAATGGATCATTCTAAGTCGGATCATCATGCTTACTCCCAGACAAGTAATCAACCAACTGCCTATTAATAAAACTTTAAATAATAGCCAATACAAGTTCTAAAGCATGTGTTGTTCAAATATCTTCGCTATCGCCATCAGCAGTATGAAATTCGGATCTTTTTCAGGAGAACAGAAAAATCTGAATATTTCATCACACATGTGGTAAAAATCTTGTATCATATATTCAATACTATTATGCGTTGTTTTGTAATAGATCCTTTCAATAACTATCGACATGAACTAATAACACCTACAGTTTACAGGTGAAATGGAAGGGTCGTTTCAAAGTAAAAAAAACCTTCAGGAATATCATTTTACATACATATTCGATTTAACGGTATTAGACTATGTTCAAAAGGAACGGATATCGAGCAAACCAAACGGCTATTCGCGTATTTTTCATGTTTATCTGCAATCAATTCGCATTCGAATTCGTTTTTTTTTCCTACAATCGTGATTATAAATATTTTAATGTCCGAGTTCTCCATAGAAGACTGTGCCATCTGCTATCAGCTAAAATATGTCGAACTCCAAGGTAAATTAAAAAAAGGGAAGTCCATAAATTCTGAGAAAAATCAAACGCTCGACTATATTAACCAATGGAATGACTGAAAATAACTGAAAATATTTTCCTGGCGATTAAGTCGTTTTTTAAATCCTATTTACCTCTCCATATATAATTATTTCTTCGCAAAACAGTTGCAGAGTTTGTAATTTTTAGTTGGGATTTTTGCTCCTCCTCATGGTACCTTTGTTAACAATGATGTACTTTCTTAATGGATTGGAAACAATTTTGAACTGCCTGTTCCTATGTAGCAATATTCCAGCAGCATTTGTGTATGAGTTTATTTCTCTTAACTCATGCGTAACTGGAGAGACTGTTGATATTGAGTCATTTTGTACATGGTCAAACTAGGGACTCAAACAGGGTTTTTTTTGTGCACGATTGAGATAATCCTTCGTTATATGGTCGTCACAAACTTATTGCCCGTTGGTTGCCAACTAATTCACATTGATGCTGCAAATTAGTAGAGATGGTCTGCTATATTTACCCAGAAGACTATGTTCTCTTGGGAGAGCAAAAAACCTATCAAAGATACCAAGCTTATAATTTTGTACGGCAAACGTGCGTTTCGTCTACCAAAAGACTCGTCGGTATATACCTAAATATATCAAATTTTTGTAACACCATTTATGAAACCTCAGATCTACCTTGGCGTTAATGTTCAAATTTAAAGCGTAAAGGTTGAAAGTTTACTGATATTGTCACTGAATACAGAATAAAGATGAACACTAAATTGGTGAATTGAAAAACTATAAAGTAATAAGTACTTTTTGGATGCATTTGAGGCACAAATTAACAGCCATTGTAGAGATATGTTCCGCCCTTGCCAATAGACATAAATATGCTAGATTCATATTAGATATTAAAGATTACATTTTGTATAACAGACTTACCGACAACCCTTTCTTTTTAAGCTCGTAATCAACTAGTAATATTCATGTACGATCATTACTATTTTTGAGACAACCTCTTACTTTTCACCTGTCGTTGTCGTTGTCATCTGTAGGTGTAGACAATTGTTGAAAATGTCTTAATACTGTGACATTTCATATACTAGCATAGTTACAACAGGGGCTGATCCGGGATTTGCAAAGAGGATGTAATTCTATAAAATAAAATAAATGACGAACGTAGCGATGCGAAATTTTTTCGGGACGATTTTATGCTAAAAATTATAATATATTTTCTAATCAAAGAGGGGCGTACTCCCTCTATGCCCTCTAAATCCGCCACTGTACTTCGTAAATATCTTCCTTACAAATTTGCATTGATAAAAGGAAACTAAAGTCTGATAAAATGGGAATGTGATGCACGATAAAGCTAGTATAAAATCAAATGAAAGAGTGATCATGTTGAGATAGTTTAGACATTATCACGTCCAGTCAATACTCAATTTCGACCGTCGTTGAAGATAAGATCTCACAGAAACTAGTAATTCTGCATTTTAAAACAATATACGAATGTTTTATAAACTGTACAAAGAAAATCAAACAAATGAAAAAATGAAAAATAAATAAGAAAAATATGATTATCAACTCCAATCATAAGAAATTGTATAAAAACTCAATTTTAGAAAATATAAAACAAAAGTAAAGAAAATATATGTAGATGCTATGACACAAAAGACAGGCGAAAGATACCAAAGGAACATGCAACTCATAAATAAAACTACAAGAACAATAAACATCATACAGGATAAAACTTTGCTTAGACATAAAAGGTTGAATCCTGAACCGTGATAACATGACCGACATAAGTCTAAAAACAATGCAAACGAGAGTTGTAAAAGGAAGAAAATTGCAATTGATACTTGATGTTCAAAACCAAAGCACATAAAAGCCTAAATTTTCACAATCATATAACAACACCGCCTCCACAAAAAAACAACAATACAAAAGACAACAAAAACATTTAATATCTAAAGGGGAAAATAAATTGTAGTCATCAAAATAAGAACACGAGATGGTTTATGTACACTTGCTTTGGATTAATTTGAAACCCAACAAAAAAAGCGTCCATTTTTAAAGTGGAAGTATCTTTGTATTTTTACATTTCTTAACATTAAAGCAAGCATCCATTGGTAGAATTTGTTGCATGAGTATCTTGCCGGACAAGGCCGTATATGTATACATTGAAATCAGTTTAAGTGCTTCCTTGTTTAAAACATTACCTGTACAAGTACACTTCTGCATATGCACTGTAGATGTGACTGTGTATCTTATCAAAATGTCATAAATAGCTGTGGGCTTCAATGGTAAAAAAAAAGGGACGGAAGATATCAAGAGGGACATTCAAAATAGTCGTCAAGAAACAGACAACGTCATCGCAAATAAATAAATAAAAATAAACGATGAAAAGACGATTTCAAAAGTTGTTTATGGACACACTTCACCATGAGAATAATGAACACACTACATCATGAGAATAATAGACACACTACATCATGAGAATAATAGACACATGATACCATAAGAATAATGGACAAACTACATCCTAATAATGCATCGTTAGCAGACATCAAATTTGAGAACTAAAATCACACGTTTTCTTAAAACCTTGATTCCACAATTTCGAAGTAGTAATTTTATTGCGTATATTTAAATTTGAACAGTTCCTGCAGGTTCTAAAATAAAATATATTGTGACACGGGATGTGCATCAAAATGAGAAGTAGACAATATGCGTCGAATAAATACATATTATGTAAGATTTAGATATGTTTTAGGAGGCGTAAGTAGATACTAAGGGGGAGGGGGGGGGGGGGGGGCAAACAAATAAATAATAGCCTGTACTTTTATGATAATCACGATTCGAAATTTTCTCTAAGTGCAATTATGATTTTAATGGTACACATAAAAGATAAATTATAAAAAAAATAAAACAAAACCTTTAAAGGATGCAGTTATATGTGTTACAAGGGTCACACCGTACATGCGATCCTTGGCATTTGTTTAATCTCGACAGATACGATCATGCGCCAACCTTGTCTTATAGTACAATAGAAGTGATTTGTTTTATTTTGCTTTTTTTTTTATATAAAGGACTTTACATCTAGAATGAATAAACTCATCAAAGATACCAGGATTGAAATTTTGTACTTCAGACGCGCGTTTCGTTTACAAAAGACTCACCAGTGACGCTCGAATAAAAAAAAGTTAAAAGGCCAAATAAAACACGAAGCCGAAGAGCATCGAGGATCCAAAAATTCATTAAAATTTCCCAAAAAAAGTTAATCTATTCATGAGCTAGAAAATCCATAGTATTTCAAAAATTCAAAGTTTTGTGAACAGTTACTTTAAGGATGTGACCATATCAATGATAGTTCATGTCAACACAGAAGTGCTGACTACTGGGCTGGTGATACCCTCGGGGAGAAAAACTCCACCAGCAGTGGCATCGACCCAGTGGTTGTAAATTAACTCATTTAAGATAACAGGATTGAAATTTTGTTCCACAAACGCGCGATGAAATGTTGTTTAGTGACAATTTTAAAGTTTGTCATGCATCAACTGATTGAAGTATATGCTCATCGGTGCAAATGTTGGAATGTCATAGAATTTTCGTCACAAAACTCTGGGCACATCCGTTTAAAACCTCTGGACTAAAGATAGTACAAATGATTTCATTGGTCAAGAAATTGTGAGTGTGACTTCTATTTCACGTTAAATGGCACGATGTTTACAAAACCAGGTTCAACCCACCATTTTTTTCTTAAAATGTCCTGTACCAAGTCAGGAAAATGGCCATTGTTATATTATAGTTCGTTTCTGTGTGTGTTACATTTTAATGTTGTGTTTTTGTTGTGTCGTTGTTCTCCTCTTATATTTGGTGCGTTTCCCTCAGTTTTAGTTTGTAACCCGGATTTGTTTTTATCTCTATCGATTTATGATTTTTCGAACAGCGGTATACTACTGTTGCCTTTATTTACACAAATTCTGTCTTAATCTGTCAAGACTAGAATATGTATGTTAGATCGCTATTCAACTTCGTACTTTAATTGGCCCTTTCACATTTTTTTAATCGAGCGTCACTGATGAGTTAAAATTTTCCATGATGTGTTTCGTGTACTGTTGTTTGTCTGTTGGTCATTTTTTTCTTTTTTTATGCCAATATAGTGTCAATTTATTTTCGACTTATGAGTTTGAATGTTCCTTTGGTATCTTTCGCCTATCTTCTACGTGTATTTTGATCATATCTTGACATAGGTTTGCATAACCAACCTGTCCTTTATCTCGCACATTAATCTCCTTCCTATATTTGTATT